AAAGTGAAGGAGAAAAATCTTGAAAGAATCCAAAGGATTTTGTTACAGACTCATTTCACACCAAGTAAAATACTGCAGTCAAAGTTTAGTGAATTTGAAGTAATGGGGGACATTTTTCAATGGACTAGAAATTGCTGCTTTTCAATACATAGCACATCCTGTAGGTGAGGAGCTCATTGACGAGTGTCAGGCAAGATGGCGGTGAGTAGCTGGAGAGGAGGTTAGCAGCCCTTCATTTCCATTTTGGTTGGGCAAGGTCTTCTGGAAGAGACAGGCACTGTGGGCTCTGGAAGACAGAAAGATTTTGATACAAATAACTCTAAAATCAGGGAAAAGAAAGAAGCGAGAACCTCATGGTAAACTTGCAAATGACCTGATGGGAAGGTTTAGGGCTTCTTGGAGCCTGGGGAATCTTTGAAGTGGACTAAAGAAATTTGGGGGAAATACGGAAGACCCAGAAGATTTTGATTACTTGATAGCATTTGTTTCCTCAGCATGATTATCTTCCTATACGTCACTATTTAGTCTAACTTTTCTCAGGGTGGGTAGGCCTCATGAGCGAGTGCTTTGAAAAGTAACAAGGCAGAATCTTTCCTATTCCCAAAGAAATTGCAGTGTTCTGCAGGTAGCTGTAGAAAAATCAGTTTTCCAGGGCAGAGTTGTGGCCCTATTTTGGCAAATGTGGGCTCTCTAGTTCATGGAGGATAATTTTCATGATTGAAAACACAGGTTAAAAAAAAAACCCCAAATGTAAACCCAAATTTTATCACTTGTTGTAAATATATTTTCTGTATTAGGCTGGACATAAGATCACGGTGTTTTTGTTTGTGATGTAAGCCTCTTTTCCTCTTTTTGTTCCCCCTTCCCTGCCCACCCACCTTCCATTCCTCACCATCTTTATGCTTTAGGACCAATATCCCCAAGGGAAGGGAGGCGTAGGTGCAGCCCAAGAAGCAGCTGAAGGCTGTTTGCCTGACGTGGAAGCCAGAGCCCAGTGTCAGGTCCTACACACTGGACCTGACAGAGAAAGGTACAAACGCTCGCAGCACCTCGGCAAGTCTTCCAGGTCCGTCTGTAACTCTTCCTGTAACCAAAGGCCTTTTCCTGTGTTTGAACTCTGCCACCAATGGCTGTCCTACCAAAGGTAAACAGCAGCAGTCTAAGCAAACTGCTCTTTTTCCAAAAGAAAGCTTTTAACTTTCCTTTTGGAGGAGGCCGGAGGGGGTTGTTTGAGGATTGGGTGGAGGAGGAGAGGGAGGAGGTGAGACCAGAGGAAACTCAAGTGACCCTGAGCTCTGCCCCATGTGGTTTTTCTTTCTTTTCTTTTCTTTTCATTTTTTTTTCCTCTTCACCTCCCTCATTATTTTTGGCTGGCTCCTTTGTGCAGGCCGCCTTCTATTCACTGACAGCTGCTTTGAACATCAGTCACGTCAGGTCATCTGCCAAGCTGTGCGCCTCAGGTCACATCGCTCTGAAGCCTCTGGTTTGTCAGCTTCAAAGTGCCTCACAAATGGTGACTTGCCTCCTTTGGGTGAATATTAAAAGAAAGGGAAGCCTGGACAGCTCATGACACTTCTGGAATTAAGGCTGGAAGCTTCTATCATTTTGCAGAAGAAGAAAACAGAACGAAAGAAGAGCTGTGAAGCCTACTGCCAGGCCTTATGGCCAGTAAGTGGAAGGACAGGGGGCTGGGCCTGCTCACATCTAATCACAAAGGGGTCTCCCTGGTCCTTGCAATTATTTCTTATTTATTTATTTATTTATTTATTTATTTATTTATTTATTCATTCATTTGTTCATTGGTTTTAAGATTTTTATTAAAATATAGCTAACATATAATATTATATTAGTTTCAGGTGTACACCATAGTTATTTAACATTTATATACCTAAAGAAGTGATCACCATGATAAGTCCAGCAACCATCTGACACCATACTGCACTATCACAATATTGTTGACTATATTCCCTATGTTGTACATTACATCAGGTATACAGCATAGTGGTTAGACATGTATATAATTTAAGAAGTGATCCCCCTGACTAATTCGAGCAGATGTGTGCATCCATATGTTCATTGCAACATTGTTTATAACGTCCAAGATGTGCAGGCAGCCTGGTGTCCATTGATAGAATAATGGATAAAGAGTAGGAGATACATATACAAGTATACAATGGAATATCGCTTGGCCAGGGAAGGGAATGGGTTCTTGCCATCTGAGGCGGCATGGATGAACCTAGAGAGTATTGTGCTGAGTGGAGTATGAGCAACAGAGAAAGACAGATGCAATGTGATTTTGCTTATATGTGGAATTTAAAGAAAATAATTCAGAAACAAACTCATGGAGAACATTTTGATGGTTGCCAGATGAGAGAGTGCTTGGGGGGGTAGGTGAAAAAGGGGAAGGGATTAAGAAGTACAAATTGGTTGTTACACAGTAGTCATGGGGATGTAGGGTATAGCATAAGGAATATAGTCAATAATATTGTAATAACTATGTATGGTGTCAGATGGGTACTAGATTTGTCGGGGTGATAGATGGGAGGGTGTTGGGGGGCAGAGTAAAAAAGGTGAAGGGATTAAGAAGTACAAATTGGTAGTTATACACTAGTCATGGGGATGTAAAGCATAGGAAATGTAGTCAATAATATGGGAATAACTGTAGTGCCAGGTGGGTACTAGACTGGTCCTTGAATTTAAAACTGTGTTTCTCAAGGAGCCTTAGCCTCTTCTAAGATATCTCAGAGATGATGACATTTGAGAGGGGATAGGGGAAGAGAAGGGAAAGGAAAATACCCAGTGGTGGATGATACTTTATTTTCATCCTCCAAAGGAGCCTCCTCTCTTTGGTTTCATTCATTCAGTCACTCACTCATTAATTCATTCCACAAAGGTCTATTGAGCAACCCCCATCTGCTAGGTGACTTCCGGACACAGGAGACACAACAATGAACCAGCAAAGTCTGGGTTCTCATGGAACTTACATTCTATTGTCTGTATTAGTTTCTAAGTAAGACTATTTTTTGGTAAAAGGTTTCTGTTAATTTTTTTTCTTTTATCTTTTCTATTATCTTTCCAATATGTAGATTTCAAAGGATTAACTTGTACTCATCAAACACAACACTAAGTGGAGATTTTACCACCACATAAAGCAAATCAACCACTCATCTTCTGACCCCTGGCAATTTAAAATCTGTTAAGAAAAGATACTTAAAAAGAGAACTTGCCCAGAGAGCACCACCTTCACTCACTGACAAATGTGGGAAGAAATAAGAAACAAAGTGATGATATAGGTGGTGAATTGAACTCAGAGCCAGGGGTCACTAGTATATACATTCTCCTCTCAGGTATTCCATGTAGGAGAGGATAGGTATGGAAGACTCTAAAGTTGAACCCCTTTGTTTGGTGTTGGTGTGGAGATGGATGGAGCAGTTAGCGGCCTTGTTGAATTTCAGGGTCAAACCGTGATTCCTACCAGCAAATATTACCACCTGCATTTTGTGATTTGAAAAGTTAAGATCAAAAGTTGTAAATTAGCAGCCACCCCAGTGCTAATATACTAATTATCTTTGGACTATCACAAATTACCCCAAAACCTAGTGACTTAAAAAAAAATTGATTATCTCACGGTTTCTGATGGTCAGGAATTCAGGACCATCTTAGCTGGGGGGTTTGGTTCAGGGTCTCCTGAGGTTGCTGTCAGAATGTGGCTGGGCCTGCAGTCACCTGAAGGCCTGACTGAGCGAGATGATTTACTGCCAAGATGGTGCACTTACAAGGCTGTTATAGGAGGCCTTGGTTTCTCTCCATGTGGCCCTTTGTACAGGTTATTTAAATGGCCTCATGACACAGCAGCTAATTTTCCCCAGAGCAAGCCATTGGAGAGAATGCTCAAGGAGGAAACCTCGATGCCTTTTGTGACCTGGTCTCCTAAGCCACTTCCCATCACTTCTACTTTATTCTGTTTTTAAGAACAAATCACTAAATCTCAGTGATTAGATCTCAAGGGATGGGGAATTAGACTCTATCTCTCAAAGAGAGAATATCAAAGAATTTAAAACATGTAGACATATTTTAAGAGCCTAAAATTTATGTTCCCTTTGCATACAAAATTTATTTTTTTCTTGTAGAATCTTAAAACAAATCACATTTCACCTGGTAATATTTTAGTCTATATTTTAAGAACAAAGCCACTAAGCCATTATCATACCCACCTCAAATTAATAATAATTCCTTAATATATTTTAAAAGCAGTCTGTTTTTTTATTCTAAAATTTTAAAATCAAGGGATTCCACACAAAAAATCCAGATTTCTGTCCTATTTTTAAAAATAAGGTGATCCAGTCACATGGCCTATGTTCTCACATAATCGCAAACCACTTCAAATGGGACACGGACTCTTCAATTTGCCGTGCTTTCCACCACACCCTCTTGTATTACACATGAAACACTGATTTGTGTTACCTGCTTGGTCCACGTGCAAAGAGACTGAAAGGTGTGGCAATGGGGTTGAGGAAGAGAAAGGCCTGACCCCCAGTGCGAGTTGGATCTCTAAAGGTTGGGAAATGAGACATGTCGTGGGTTGTGTTAGAGTAGCAGCAACCTTGGGCCTCACATACGTAGGGCTGTAGAGATGACAAGGATAACTGTAGAGATCTGGGCATCAGTCAGTATGGTCTTAGATGATTTGGTGGACGTTCCTACAACAGGGTACTGGGGGTGTAGAGCCATGAGCAGAACCAGCCACCTCTAAGGGGACCGTGAATCATCCAACATGGATCAAGGCTCAGGGCTATTTTCCTAGGACTGTGGAAGTCCTGGGTCTGGTAAAACCTAAGGAGGCAGGTGAGAGCCATGAAAAATGATGCTATAGAACACTTAGCCAGCTTTATCAGGGAGGGGGGGCCACTAATCATATTTAATTTATTGTATAAAAATATAGAAAGTTATTTCTTGTCCCTTTTGTGCCACAGACACATGGATCTTAGGATGCTTGGAGACAGCCTGTAAGTAGAAGAAAAGGCAGCTCTGGAGGAAGCCTGTGAAAAGATGAGCTCTGCTGAACTATGAAAGTGAGTACCGGATGCGAATGCTTGCTCTCCTCTGGCCTGGTAATAAGCCCACAGTTGCTTTTTAATAGGACTACTGCCATTCCCCAACTTAACACTGCTCGTGTGCATATATCAGGTATTTGGAGCTCAGAATGCATTTTCCTGGAACCCACATGTTCCTTAGTGATTAAGTCCATAGGCTTGGTGATCACGACTCGTAATATGCCTCAACTAAATCATAACACTACCAATTCACCATGTGTAGCAGACTTCCCTTAGGAAATTTCTGCCTGGTTCTAACAGGGAATGCCTAGAGTACATTTTCTTCAACTCTAGGAGTTCAGATACCAAGTTCTACGCCATCCCTCAAACTCATTACTCCTGGGCCAGTTTTGATGATGTCACTAGCTTTTCAGTAATAGTGCTGGGTATGTGATAGAGGTAAGTGAACTCTGTTGGGTGAAAGGTAAGAAATTTAGGCATGGGGATACACCTTAAGACAGTAACAGCAAGGCAAGCAGACCCGGAGGCTGGTCTGGGACAAAGGTAGGTAGGTACTCAGCTTTAGGGGCTCTGGAAATTGCAGATGGGGGTGGGGGCATCGGGGAAAGCGTTGCCATTCAAAAGTATGAATTTTCATAAGCCAGCTGTTTGTGTGCCAGGCACTGCCTATATTCAGTCTCCAACAGGCCTTTGTGATACAACATATCAGCTAGCCCTCAAACTGTATCTTCCTATGACCTCTCTCAGTACTAGCATGTCCAGAAGCCCAGGGTATTTACAACAGTGCCTGGCACATGCTAAGTATATGAAAGATGTTAGCTATTCTCCTCCATATTTTTTACTCCTAATACTGTGGAAAGTAGGTGTTATTATCCCCAGTTGTCAAATGAGGAAACTATTATAGATGCATAAAAGAAACTTTCTTCAATACCGTGTGTAAAGGAATCCTTCATATACACTTTCCATGCTAAAAAAAAAAAAAAAGCCAAAAAGAAAGAAAGAAATGAATGTTTTCACATTTTGAGAGTTGAGACTTGGAGGATATTGGGGTTTGGCAAGACAAAGAGAATAAATCAAAGAAACAAAGGAAGTGTCAAAGCAGTTTTAGGCCCGAGGCTTGGCCATCCCTTCTGCACATTAATATAATGAAACTCAGCCTGTCCATGAGAAGCCCAGAGTGGGGAGGAGAGAACTGCTTTCCACAGAATCTGGAAGGGGGTTGGAGAGCTGATGGTGGTGACTCAGAGCAGCAGGAACTAGCAGCTCCAGGTGGCAGCAGGAGTAAGAACAGTGGCCCCAACTCCTTCCAAAACTCCCCAGAAACTCTGCCAGTATCTCCAAGGGTATCACCGTGTCCTCAAATGGAATCCATTTCAATTTTTAAAAATTCATGTGTGCCATGCATCCCATGTAAGAGGAAATGGTTGCTGAAGGAAATCGAACAAAAAGGTTATGAATCACTGGAGTGGACAGTCTTCCTGGAGAGAAGTGAGTCCTGCATCGGACTTTTAAAAAGATATCTGGCAGTAGCAGGAATATTCCTGGCAGCCCTGAACTAGAAACAACCCAAATGTCCACCTTCGGTAGAGTAGATACATAAATTGTGGTATAGTCACAGAATAAAATACTCTCCAGCAACGAGAGTGAATGAACCACAACTACATTCAACAATAGAAGAGAATCTCACCAATATAATACTGAGACATAGAAAACCAAAACAAAAAGTACAGTCCTATGCCATTTGTTATGTAAATCCAAACCAGGTAATATGTATTTAAGTCAGGTGTGGGAGTTAGGACCCTGTGATCCTTTAGGGGAGGTCGTAGTTAGCGGGTCACAAGGACTTCTGTTTTGTTTCTGTTACTCCGATGTGTTCATTTCGTGAAAGTTCACTGATGTGTACACTTATTTTGGGCACACTGTTCTGAACATATGCTGTATTTCAATCCACCCTTCACTCCACCACTCTCCATGATCAGGGTTCAGGTTAGTCCTGGGCTGGACAGAAAGCCCTAGAGTTCTGTATAATCAGAAGCTGGAGAAGCACCCATTAGGATGCTTCAGAAGTGGGAAGCCATTTTGAGTAGAGCTTATATTTCTGTGGTTCTGAATCTTGGGTCCCTGTTTTGGTTTCACTGAACTTTACACCTTGGTTTTTCTCTTTGTCCCAGTGTGTTGCAGCCCTCTCTCTCTACTCAAATGATCTCTAATATCCAGTGCACTGCGTGGCTTACCTGCTGGGTCAGAGGCATGGCTATCTTCCACTCCCACACGTGTGTTTCCTCAGTTGTCTGCAGTGCAAACATCCATTCCCTTCACTTTTGGTCAGAATCTGAATAAGCCATGAGAGAGCTGGAGACTAAGCTTCACCAGCTTAAGTGACCTGATGAGAAATCTCTCCTGTGAAACCTCCTGGGAGGGACTCATGCATTTTAGCTCCAGACACCCAGTGGGTGATTTGACAAGCATCAGAGGATGACTTTTCATGTGATTGGCAGAGCAGGGAAAGGGGGAGAAGCCTGTTTACAACGAGGTGTATGAATAGAGCAGCTTGGCACAGGCAGCGCTGAGAACCCCTTTGCAACACTGTGGCTGACATTCTAAGACCCATGCTGCTTCACAGTAATATTTTGAAAACAAGAAAAATCGCCTCCCAGTGTTTCCAGAGGTGGTGTCTCCAGATCTCGACCAGACGCCACTCCATTACATCAAAGCTGCACAGCTCAGATGGCACTTGTCCCTGTCCAGACTGTCTTTGGGCGGGTCAGCTGGCTGGGAGAAAACAACACGCCTCAACGTGACAGTCCCCACATTCTGCAGACTTAAAAGGGAAATCCTCTGGAATCTGACTGGGCTCCAGGGGCTCAGCCTGGCCTTGCCCTGAGGCTGCAGGAGGAATGAAAGCATGGACAGGGCTGCGTGTGGCTGTCACTGATTCTCCAGGTGTGCAGAGACTTTCAGGCCTGCAAGGATTTTGTTGCCTGAGTGTCTTTCTTCCTTCATCTCCCCTCTCTGCCTCTGCTGGTGATGCCACAAAGCCTAGGGCAGGCTTTCCTCCTCCTCCTCCTCCCTCCCGCTCCCCCCACTTGCACCTGCTTCCACTTTTTATGGTACATTTCAGCAGAATTTACCCAAGTTTACCTGAATTTGCTTCTTTATCCTCACAATTACTTAAAGGGTTGCCCCAATATTGCTGCTCGTTTGAAAGAGGCACTTCCTGTTCCTTCCCCACCCCATTCTCTCATGCTCTTCTCTTTCTTTCTTAGATTTCATTTTCATCTTCCTTCCCATTTCTACAATGGCAGGATACAGAGGAAGGCCAGCAGAGGGCAAAGAGCACTAGAGCTGAACCAGGAGACAGATGAGCACTTTGGTTTTTGCCACTGAGGTGTGTGGCCTTGGGCAAACAGTACAGACTCTTCTGTGGGCGTCAGTTTTCTCATCTGTAGATGGGGTTGGGTCACCCGTGCCAGAAACCCATGTGCTGTGTCAGTATTGGTGCCACAGGGAATGCAGAGAGTAAGGCTCTGTCCTGGGTCTTGCAAACCTACTGAATCTATTTAGCCACAGTATCTTTAAGTTCTCTCTGATACACACATGATAGATAGATAGATAGATAGATAGATAGATAGATAGATAGATAGATAGATAGATAGGTGATAGATAGGTGATAGATAATAAATGGGGGAAGAAAACTGTTGGTATAAAAGAATAATCTTATAGACCATACGACCAATAAAAGTGTTGCAGAGAGACTGAATCAGAATTGCTCTTTCCCTGATATTACTTTAATTCCTTTTTGTGATTAGGTGTAACTCCACCACCCCACCCCACTCCCCACCCTTTTTTTTTAACCATTGAATGAAATAGGAACTACCTTAAAGCTGCTTTGTCTTTTGCTGCCACAAAGGTCCACACAACTGCTTGTTCCTGTTCGTGGTGAAAATGGCCTTAACCAGATGAATGAAAGGCACAAGACACACAACACAAATCAGAGAATTTTAAGCCAAGGTTATTCCTAAGTGCCTAACCCTAAATGGAGCTCATGCCTGCCCAGTGAACTCCCAAGCACCCCTAACTTGGTAAAGGGCATTCCCTACATTTTCTCCTTATAGTCAGCCTCCCCATCCCTTTTTAAAAACTGTGGCTGACCTATCTAAGACTTTTGAAGCTTCACAGTATTTTGTCAATCCAAGAAGCACTAGAGATGTAAAAGATAGGACCATATATATTACAACATATCTGAGAAAACAATATTTAGCAGCAGTGTAGTAAGTTGCTTTTTAAATTTGTTTACCCTCTGCAAAGAAGGAAGTTTGGTTTGGTCCATGACATGAAGCTCGGTGACCAGTGCATACACGTGCTCTTTGATCCTGGTAGGACTCTAAGGATGCAAAGTCAGGCTGAGGAATTGCAGCAGTGCTGGTATTTCAAACGGCCTAGGAAGAGCCAACCGTCCTGGCCGACTGGCCATCTTTCACTCTTATAGGCCGTGTGTTTGCCTCAGTTAGCACAACAGACCAAACTTTCCTTTGGTCAGAGTCGACATGACATGATTTGTTCCCTTTTGGCTGTGTCAGTTCTGCAAACCAGATACTAGAGACTGCAAGCTCAGGAGGGCCTGTCTTTCTGGAACACCATTTGTTTGGACAGGACAGGCCAGTAAGGCTTTTCATCTCTTTAAAGCTCCCAGGGCAGAGAGCATTTTTGAGGAATTCCTTTTTTTCAAAGATTTTTTTTTTTTTTTTTGCTCCTTCCAACATTTTGTTTAAGAGCAAATGAGATGTCTATCTTCTGTTTCCTTATTTTTTTTCAGGAAAGCAAAGGGTTGTTGACTTCCTCTCTCTCCCCTCCCTTCCTTCCTTCTTCCCGAAGGTACTCATCTGAGAAAAAAGAGAACGAAGTATTGTTCCTGTTCTCTTTCTTAAGTCATTCGAAACACTGTCCCTGCGAGTTCCTTAAGTTCCCTGCAATCTGTACACAAGAGAAGGAGGGAGAGAGAGAGAGGGAGACAGACA